ACAGACTGAATGGAGCAAGTGTGACTGAACTAAAAGGTAAAATGGTAAAGCTGGTTTCGGTCTGTGATGCACCAAGTACGGACTGTCCCAAATCTACTGACATATTGTATGAGCAAGGCTTCCTAACCAGACTACAGGGAAGGATAAATGTGATGACTAGAATCCCATTTCTTCGTGCTTCTCCTGAATGATTTCCAAAATATTTTCTACATTTTGAGAGATCTCATTAATTTCTTAGAAAGCAAATAATAATCATTCAGTAATTCTGAATGCATTCTTAAATTTCTCCCGTTTTAGCATTCATGGTAACAAATAAATGTGCGGTTGATGAAGTGCTCTTCAAAATCTGACCACTGGATTTCCAGTTCAATATTCAGGGTTGATATTTCAAAACATTAAAAAAATAAAACACATGGCAAGATGTGGGCAATGACCAGTCACTCTGGATGCTGTTCTGAGAGGCAGAGCAAGCCCTGGAGATGCCCTCCTTTGCCTTGCCATGATCTTGTAGTTGCTGGATCTTGAGATTCCTTTGGAATTTGCGGAGGGGTTGCCAAGGGAAAGTAAGCAAGGGGTTGTATGGGGGCTCAGGATAGCAGGTATTTACCAACCAGTATTTAAGCATCAGTGCTTTCACAATGAGAGTGGCTGAATTAGTTGCTGCCATCTGAAGATCAGTCCTATCAAGATAACTGAGCACAAAGTTTTATGTTCCTTACTCCTGAAATCCCAGCTAAATGGCCCAAAAACTATTTCTGAAATATATAAATCAGATGGGATCTAATTGACTGAAAAGCTAGAGTAAAGAAAATCACAACCCAAAATATAAACAGTAAAAGGTTGTCAGAGAGGTAAGAGCCGCTCTTTCCAATAGAGTTAGGGAGAAATTCTAAGTCCTAAGAAGGTCAATCAGAAAGAGTCAAAGGAAGAAAATGTTAAAAGCAATTGTAGGGAAATTTTCTTCTGGGTTAAACTAAGGTGTGAAGTTTCAAATAGAAACTGGCTACCTAGTGCAAAGAGGTCAAATGAAAAAAATTTAGGCAACAAATTCAGACAATGATAAAAGGAAAATCTTAAAAGTTCCTAGAAACAGGGGCCAGAGAAGGTAGTTAGCTCAGAACAAAGGAATGAAGATCATGCTGGCATCACACTATATCATACACTTTTCCTAGAAGGCAATGTAGAAATGCTTATAAAATTATGACGGATTTTCTATTTTGAACCAGAAATTCTAATTCTACCTAAAATTATGATATTAATTGAAGTTCTATAAAAATCCAGCTGAGCTAATTAAGAACCATATACATATCTGTATGTATATATGAGAAGGAAATTGACAGCCATGGAACTATGGAACCAGCTAGTCAGATCTAGTGGAGGTAAGTTGAGGTTGTCTTCAGAAAGGAGAGCTTGTGCTGTGACCAGGTGTTGGAGGGGATGAGGGTGGACCAAACCGGGCCCTGTGGACAGCTTGCACTGCTGGAGCAGGTCCAGCACCTACATGAACACATGAGACTCCATCTGGCTGACCTTGCTCAGGTTACACACTGCAACCTTAAAGGTAGCTTTCCGTTCTAATATTTTACAAGTCTATCATCACCACCCAAATACTGAGTGGTAAGGGGTGTGTGGAAAAATACAACATTTTTGGCTTGGGAATTTTCTGTCCTTTCAATTCACCTACAAATGTCCTCCCAGTAAAGAGGGAAGCTCTTCCCAGAGGTCAATTCAAATAAAATTCATTTCCATGAGTGGTCATGCAAGATACACAAACTAACATGTAGAGTGTCTGTAACATTGATAATGATAATCACTTTGATGCATAAAGAATGATCCATACAGAATCTGGAAGAATAACCAGATGGGGTCAGATTGATTGAAAAATCAGATTAGAGAAAAACACAATCCAAAATACTCATAATAGAAAGTTGTCAGAGATGTAAGAGCTATTCATAAGAATACAGCTTGAGAGAAATTCTAAGCCTATTATTTTTTTAATATGGTCATGTGCATCTATATAAATTTATTAAAATATTTCTATATTTAAAGGGATGCATATCTGTTCAGCAAACATTATTGCTTATCCATTATTTCCAAGAACAGTGTAAGGTCCAGCTGGAGGTATAAAGATGAACAAGAAGGAACATTCTCCTAAGTAACACAGTTTTGGGGGTGAAATAAATATGCACAACAAATGCCTAGAAAGCAGAAAGTAATGTCATAGACACAATAAACATAGTGGGTCTAAGAAAGGAGGATGGATAGAACTGCATCTATAATCTCTACTGTCTTAATCTCTGTGCATGGAAAAATAAAAGGTAACTTTACAAGGTACTGTTAAATACATGAGCTGCTAAAGGTGCATAAAATTTGCAAACATATTTTCATATCATTATTCATAATAATGAACTAATAATTTGTGGAAAAAAGTTAATGAAGCTTCTAATCTCAAAAGTGCTTAGGTGAGTTGAAGTGATTTGTGTGAAATAAAATGTAAAGGTACCAAATGAATTAATAGTATAAAACAACAAGATTATGATTTTGGTTAATGTGCAGACCAATCATGCCTTAATAGATAAGACACAGTTTATTTCAGTGACTCTTAATTCAGCCGAGGGAACAAAAATGTTGTACAATAAAATACTATTTCAATAATGAAGAAATACGGATGATTGGAAAGCTAGAGATTCAAATGTTTTATCATAGCAAATCAATTACTTCCTGCAATGTCCCCATCTTCCCAAATAATTTTGCTTTTACTTTTCTTTGTGGTGATTGATTTTTTTTTCCTTTGAAAATAATTTGATAGAAAATTGTGTCACAAATTGCTTACAACAACTTGGGTACAGTGGCTGGGCCACCTTCTCCTCTGTGAGGGGAGAAATAGTTAGTGGTTATTCATTAACTCTCTGAATCCCTGAGTGTGAATATTGGTTCTGTTGTTTAACAAGTATGCCACCTTGGGCATAAGCTCTCACCTCTTTTGCCTCAAGTTCCTTTTTTATAAAATAGAAATAATACTATTCCCCTGCTCATAGGTTTGTTGTAGAGACTGGGTTAGTGCCCGTAAGGCAGTGACATGCACAGAATGTCAGATAAATCATTATGAGGTTTAAAATGTTTTTATTTTTATATTTCCCTGGCTTCAGAGCCCATGTCTTGTGTACCAGAAGCACTCAATAATGTTCACTGAAGCAAAGGCCAACAGACTAGTCCCCACACAACCAGAGCAGTTCATGGAAGAGAATCATGAGGGCAGTAGCTTGTTTATAGTGAAAGTTTTCAAGCACTTATGAAAAAGACAGAATAGTATGTTGTCTAGAAAAGTAGGTGGTAAAATTAGATGATTTATCTAATGTATTTGAAAGGCCACCAAGAAAAGGAAATACAGGTGTAAATGTATTAAACTAGATGTTAGAAGTACTATTTGTGTGCAGAAGCTTTAAGGTCATCAGTAGATTTCTTAATACTTTGATTTTAGCTTCTTTAAAATGAGGCAGTATAGCTATAGTTTGCCACACAAGATTAGAAAAAGTTACTGAAACCACTAGAATCAAAACAAATTTATAATAGTGTCAGAGCTGAAGAACTGGGGTAACCCAATATTTATTAGTCTAAGGTGCCTTTAATCATCTGTAAAAATCAAATGAAGACAGGAGAGCTTCCCACAAGAACAGTTAAATTAGAAATAATATAAACTATTTCAGAAAAGGTTTACCAATTCAAACCATTTGTGGAATAATAGTCAGAAATTATGTGCTATAGATAATGTTGATTTACAAGCAAGGTAGAAATTAAAGAAATATAGTGAGAATATTTTGATATATATTCATCCTGCCCCAAAGATTTGGTAATCTGATTTTAAAATCTTGATGTCTGATTGTGGCAAAACTAAAGCTAGAATAGAATCAAGTAATGTATTTACAATGTGTTCATGGGACATACAGTACTCACCAATATTAGTACCAAAATGATGCTCCGAAATAACTGGCTTGGTTTATCCACTGTGAATTACATGCTATTTGGTTTTGCCTTGGGACCAAGTTTGTGAGTCATAAGGAAATGCATTTTGCAGCCTCTGTGCCAGCTTCATTTTTTGCATTTCATTTCAGTTTTCTTTGTTCTTTTGAACACCTTTTTAACTTACGCTGTTCTGTGTATCACTGAAAAGCCCCAGTAAATAAATTTTGGAGCAATATACAATTAAGTGAAAAAAATTAAATTTAAAATAACGTAACATAATTAACATTAAAAAAAATAAAAATAATGACAGTCTTAAAACCCTTGCTTTAAACATACGCTAACTGGTAAAATTTCTGAACTCTAATTTTATGAGCAGACTTACCAGGAAGAAGCTCACTGAATAAAGGAATGTTATTATTTATAATACCAATTATTTTTCCCATTGTAAATACTTAAATTGATATAATAGTTAATAGATCTGTCTCTTGACTGATTTTACCTACTCTGAAAACACATTTTTGGACTCATGGAACTGAATACCAGACAGTGCAGACTCACTCTGCCCTCTCTAAGCAAGGATTAACCACCTCTCAAAGCATCTCTGAATTGCATTTATGTTTTAATAGAAAAATATTACAAAGAAACAGAGAGAAGATAAAGTCAGAAATTGAATTAATATAAATTAATTAAAGGGAGGATTTAGAATAAAATAAATATATTGTCCTTTATATATTCTTTTAAATTTTCTCAACAATACAATAAGGAAAGGGTTATTAACCAGAGAAATGAGGTCCCGAGAAAACTTAACTGCCCAAGATCACATTGCTAAAAGGCAGAGTTGGTATTGTAATCCAGGCATTTCTAGCTCTAAGGCCACGTTGTTGCCATTGCAAATGGGTTTTATTATATTTACCAAAAAACTATGACCTTGGGTTTAAGTGGGTCAAAGCTGAAGGTCAGTTATTTTTTTACATTAGAAGATACTGAAAATTATGATCAAGTTTTTTTCCCATTACGTGACCACTGTGGATCAACTTTTAGTCTTCCCAATCTAAAACCAGAAACCATTCAGCAAATAAATTCACTGTTGAGGAATTCTCTCTCAAGATTGTGCCAATGACAATTAGTTTGATGGCTTTTTGAAACTAAGGATGGAAGAAAGCATAAATCAAGGGGTTCATTGTTGAGTTATAGTAAGCAATCCAAACCAGGATTTCATAAATATATGTGGGTGTAATGAAACCTAAGAAAGCATCAATTATAGTATCAGTGAAGTATGGCAACCATGAAAGCAAAAAGGCTATCACCGCAATTTCCAGGGTTTTTGCGGTTTTTCTCTCCCGCTTGGCCACCCTGTCTTTGTAGCTTTCTGATGATCTTGCAGTCTGATTGCTCATGCTTTCACTGTTCCTAGCCTGTTGCTTAGCAATGAGGAAAATCTTGGAGTAAAGAGTTATCATCACAAGCGTGGGTATTGAAAACAAAAGGAAATTTACCAATACCCAACTCTGATTCACTGCAATTTGACAGCCTCCCACACAGTGAGAGCACTTAATAGATCCTCTAGCCCAGCTTCATTTGCACCTGAGCCAAGAAGTGAACAACTATAAATAATTGAAAAGAACCAGGTGAAGGCAATACAGATGCCAGAAACAGATGCAGTGAACCTGGTTGGATAGACCAGAGGGTCAATGACAGCAATGTATCTATTGACAGAAATAAAACACAAGTGGTAGATAGAAGCATAGCAAAATGACCCTTCGAAACAAGAGTGAAATTTACAGTAACTCTGCCCAAAGTACTGGCAGCTCTCCAGACTTCACTGTGCTGAACGGCATCACGGTCAAGCCCACCAGAAAGTCAGCGCAGGCCAGAGAGGCGATGAGAAAATTGGCTGGGGAGTGCAGCTGCGTGAAATGAAGAATTGAAATCATCACCAAGAGGTTTCCAGATACAGTCAGGGCAGCTCCAGAGCCCAGCACCATATACAGAATCAGGCTGGGGTCTGGTGAATAGGGAGTTTTCACACGAGAGCCCTTCAGGTTCTCAAAGCACAATTGCACAGCTGCAGGAACGGGCAAATCACTGCTCATGATTCTCCGTTTTGATACCTGGAAAAACTGTTTTCCTCTATGGCCAAGGGTGTCATTCCAGTTTTCAAAGTTCTTTAAAAATATATGTATGTTAAGTATATATATATAATATGTCAATGTCAGTAATTACCAATATAGTCAGTTCCTATTTCTTTGTAAGTACAAATCCTTTTTTTCATGTTTAGGGAGTGATTCATATTCTCATCTCATAACTCACTTCCTAATGAATAAGCAATTAATTTTCATCACTAATAAAATGCTGTTGATTTTAACCTAGAAACTGTTTTCTTCGCATTACCTAGTAGTTCATATCTGAGAAGCATTGGTCATTAAAGAGATGTTATGTGATCCAGGTATGAATGTCACATTTTATTAGTGTTCTTTTCCTAACTTATCAGAGTGAGGCCAATACCCAAATCACTCTGACCCCTCAGAAAAGTGGCTAAATAATTCCAAATACACTGTGGATAAAATGAGAGTTCCTGTGGCCAGGATTCTCACCTGGCTGTGGTTGACTAGCTCACTGCACACCTGTGGGCAATGCATGGCTGTTGACTCTATAAAAAAGAGCTCTGCCCAGTGCTCTGGGCAACACGGTGGCAGGGCTGCAGGGCTGTAGGGCTGCAAGGCTGCAAGGCTGCAGGAGAGCAGAGCAGAGCAGAGGCTGGAGTGGTGGCAGCGCCGTGGATGGCTCTGTGGGACGGCTGTGCAGAGAATCCCAGAGGACAGCTCTGCGGACAGAGGGGCCCAGAGGCAGAGACTGGCTTGCTGCATACAGACTCGGTCTGGAGTGAATGGGATTCTAGTGACTGACCTGCCACCTGGGAATAAAGTTGGGTATAACCCTTTCACCCCAAAGAGCGTTTTGCTGTCATTTTCTTTGGTCACACTGAATCCATAGCAAACTTGCCCCGGGCTGAAACCCATTGACAAGATATATGCAAAGCCCTCAAGATTTAATCCCCATAGTGCGAGTGTGGAAAGAAAGAACAAATTAAATAATAATTATGTTTATGCTAAAAATAAGTTTATACCTTTCTAATTTTCTGATGACATTAGACCTTTTCATGAAATAGAAATGTAAATAGAGCTTATCCTTAAAAACCTTTGTCCAGAATTTGAAAACCATATTGTTAATTCTTACTGATTACTGGAAATCACATTTCCATTTTTGTGAGAACGATTTACTTATGATTCCTGTGTGTTGCTAAAACTCTATCAATAAGCTTTCTATCCCTTTCGGTATTGGTTTGTGCTAAAGAAATTAAATGCAGAACTAGATATTAAAATCTAGAATGTTTCAGATTCAGTTTTTTCTTCACCCAGATCAAGATAGCAAACATTCTTACTAATTTTTTTCCCCTTCATTTATTCCTCCCTGTCCCTCATACATCCTCCCTGCCCCTCCCTGCCATGGCCACTATAGGCATCTATTCTCTGTGTCTATAAATCTACTACTGTTTTGTTTATTTTTTTAGATTCCATATGTAAGTGAAATCATATGGTATTTGTTTTTCTCTGTCTGACTTCATTTAGCATAATATCCTCTAGGTCCATCCGTGTTGTCACAAATGGCAATATTTCATTCTGTTCATGGCCAAGTAACAGTCCATTATATATATATATGCCACATCTCTTTCATCCAGTCATCTGCCAATTGACATTTAGGTTATATTCTGGGAATTATAAATAATGCTGCAGTAAGCATAGGAGTGCATATATGTTTTCAAATCAGTGATTTGGTTTCCTTCTGGTTAATTTCTAGAAGTGGGAATTATATTTATATTTTACATTTTAAATTATATTAAAATATAGAATATTCCACATTTAGCTTTAATTATTCTGATTTGGAAAAATGGGTGTTTTTTTTTTTCCTCATGGAAATATATGAAGGAATTGTATGTACATCTAAACAACAGCTCCTGCTAAGGTTTTTTTGGTTTTAGCTTTTCGTTTCTAAGTGGGAACTATTGGGGAAATACTATAGAATAATATGAAGAAAGCATCTTAGTAATGTGGATGTATGTTTCTTTTTGTTTTTTTGCAGCTAACAGGCTTTTTAAAAGCCAGAGTTTATTTTTATTTACAACAAGGCTCAAAATGGTGACCTCAAAGATCTCTGGGTCTCATATAAAATAACAGTCAGGAATTTGCTATTGATGCCTCTACCTCAACACTTGAAAATAGTGAAATCCAAGCCTCTGGGCATTTCTGAGGTTTGATAATTCTTCTAGGCTGAGAGATGAATTTCCTGAGGGTTGACATGCATCATGGAAGAGGAATATTGCATCAGTAACATTTCCAGAAACAACCATTATCATTGCAGGTGAAAAGCTATATGATCAGATAAGAAAGCCACCACAGAAAGTTCCAGGAGCAAAATGAGTAATCCAAATATGAAAAAAACAGATATATTTGTAAATATTCTGTGGAAACCCTTCTGGCCATTTTCTCAGCAGCCAGTAACTCTGGCTTTGAGCTGGAAAAGCTGGGATCATGATGAGTCTTTTCTATAGATATTAGAAGAGAAAAGCTAAGGTCAGGTAACTCAGAGGCTGACCAGGAGCCTGTAATGTGAATATTTCTGTGTTATTCTTTGGATTTTACCATTGACAAATTTCCTTCTTCTCTTTTAGAGACCTAGAACAGATCTCAGCTTAGGCTTTGAAAAAGATTTCTGATGAATGATTTCTAGTTATCCTTAAAAATATACTTTTTTGGTATTGAGGTACAATTTATATTTGAAAATTTCACACTTTCAAAGTGTAGGGGCTGATGACTTATGATATATGTATCCACCATGTATCTACCTTTGTAATCAAGATACAGAATATTTCCAGTGCCCTTTAAATTTTCTTTGTGCCCTTTTGCAGACAATCAAGCCCTACATTTTCACAATCCTGCCTTTGGCAACTGCTGGTCTCCATTCTTTTGCCACAAATTAGCTTGGTCTAAATATCACAATATACGTACTCTTCCATGATCTTTCTTTCAGCTCAATGTCTATGAGATGCATCCATTTATTAGGTATGTTAGTGATTCATTCCTTGTTATTGCTAAATAACAATCCACTGTATGAATATACCTCAATTAGTTTAGTCATATACCCGTTGACAGACATTTGAACTTGTATTCAGTTTGGGGCTATTATTAATAGTGTTGCTATGAACATTCAGATGCAAATTTTTGCATAGACATAAGTTGTATTCCTTTTTGGTTAATACCTAGGAAAAGAATTACTGGACCATTTGGGAAGTGTATGTTTAACTGTACAAGAAGCCACAATTTTTCTTTGAAAAGTGATTGCATCATTTTACTTCCCCATCAGCAATCTATAAGTATTCTAATTGCTCCAAGTCCTTTTCAACATTTGGTATTACCTTTCTTTTCCAATCTTTGGTATTCTTTTTATTTCAACCTCTCGAGGTGGTATGTAGTAGTATCTTGTGTCTTTAATGAGTGGTGATGGTGACAATCTCTTCCTGTGATTATTAGTCATTAATGTATCCCTTTGCTGAACTGTCTGTTAAAATTTTTGCCTATTTTTAATTGAGTTTTAAGTTTTCTTATTTAGTTGACTGTCCTTTCTAAATATATGTTTAAAATGTTGTCTGGATACAAGTCCTACGTTAAAAATGTTGGGCATTTCAATTTCTTGAAGCATTTTTTGATGAGTAAAAAATTTTAATTATGATGAAGTCCAACTTATTATTTATATTATGTTTCTTGTCTACAAAATCTTTGCCTAATCCACTATCATAACTATTTTCTTCTATGTTCCTTCTGGAATTTTTATAATTATATTCTCATGTTTAGTATGATTCATGTCATATTAATTTTTAATATGATGTAAGGAATGGTCTGAGGTTTATTGTTACTCATAGTAGTATGTGGATACTGAGCAATTCCAACAGCAGTTCCTGAAATGACTATTTTTTTCTCCATTGAATGATGTTTGTTCTTTTATCAAAACCAAGTAACCATATATGTGTACATCAATTTCTGGACTCTATTCTATCCTGTTGATCTCTACTTCTATATTTAGCCTTATTAACTTGATTTAAATTTTATAGTAAGTATTAAAGCCAAGTTGTCTAAGTCTTCCACTCTGCTGTCATTTCCAAAATCGTTTTGGCCATTCTATGTCTTTATCTTTCATAAAACTTTTAGAATCCCTTTTCAATTTCTAGGGGGAAAAAAAGCTGTTTTTTTTACTGGCATAAAATTGAATCTATAAAACAATTATGGAGAGAGGTACTAAAATATCTGATGAGGCCAGATAAATTTGCTCATTTCTCCTTTCAGTTTTGTCATTTATGGCTCATGAATTTAGGTGTTCTGCAAATACCTGCACACATAATTAAGATTGCTGTATTTCCTGGTAATATTGAAGGGCAGGTTATCTTAATATTGAATCTACTAGACCACATACATATTCTATCTCTCCATAATTAAGAAACCAATAGGAGAAAAAAATGGAAACCGTAAGTGTTATCTTAGCAAAAAATAAGGCAAGAAAGGAATAAGAGAATCAAAATACAAAGGGAACAAATGAGAATCAAATATCAAGATAATAGAATTAAACTCAAATATATAAAAAATTACATCCAATATAAATGGATTAAACTCTTCAATTAATAGACAAAAATTATCAGATTGCATGAAAAAGCAATTCTTAACTATATGCTGCCTATAGGAAACACATTTTAAGTACAAAGACAGAGTCTGAAGGAAAAAAGAATGGAAAAAGACATTCAAGGAAAATAACAAGCATAAGAAGGCTGCTATGGCTATACAAATATCAGACAATGTAAAAACTATGACAAATAGTACTTTCAGAAATAGAGAAGGACATCGCATAATGAAAAAATAATTATGTTTGAGAGAAACTGACTCTTAAGATGGGTTCTCTGAATAGGTTCTGGGTTTCCTGGGATGGGATATTGTATAAAATTATGTTTGGTGTATTAATGACCCTATTTACACTGGTAGAGAGGGAA